TGCATATTTGATAATACATATTACATTAAATAATACCGCTAAACTAACAAGTGATAAATAGTATTTGAACTGCTTGTAACAGTTACGTTTACCTTTTGTTATCATTTAGCCGTAAACAATTGTTTTATTATGCTGGAAGATTTATTAATAAAGTTTAAAAATTTCATGACATTAATATTGTACATTATGTATTTAACCAACATTATGTTGATAATTCGCTAAGGACCATTCACCTGAAATCTCGTTTATCATCGTTTCAAACTATGCGTAACCGTTGTTTTGTAAAATCATTTATAATTATAACCAGTAATGTTTTATAGACAATAGATTATAGAATATGTTTTGAGACCTACGAATTTCAATATCACATGTCACATTATCATTATTTGTCACGCGGCGATATAGATAGGCAAATCTGGTACACCACGGTCATGCGTTAATTTTTTCTCTGACAATAAAATAAAATATTTTTTATTTTTATTTATTTTTATTTATGGCATCGACTGCATGGTTCTTAGACGACTTTTTTTACTTTGAAGGTGAGTTCAGTTGGTTCGGAAAACGTGTATGTGTGTTGGGATTTGTCAATAAGAACCGTAATACACCAATGATACAATCGAAGACATAAAGTTGAAAAATGTAGCTATAAAAAGTATTATTACAGTGATTTCGAGAAACGTTACTGATATTTTAATAAGTACTATAAAGTTTGAGAAAGTATCATGAAAATACTACAGATGTTCATAGAAAAGTGTAGCTCATTAAAATAATTGGTAGGCATTCAAATTTGGAAAATAAAATACTTCCCGTGAACCGATATTTTCGATATAGGGCATAAAAAATGTTTATTCACATCACTATTAACGTCAACTTAAAATAAAACTTGGTTTGGTACTCTGGTAATTTTTTTTTTTTTGTAAAATATAATACTTAAATTCTACCACCCGTGGATATTTTATATCTTACACACTTATGTTTTTGCTGAGTACGCAAAAGAACTAGAGCTTTTCATTATCAATTCGTATACGAAGGCAATGTAAGCACTAAATATTTGAAAAACTATTAATTGTTCTCAATTTAATCGATAAAATCCTTTCGTCATAATAGGGTTCTGAATTAGAGATTGCATTAGGTGTATAAAAATAACTATACAAAACCGATATAAGATATTAATTAAAATAATAATTTACTATTTAATATTCCTAAAATATTATGTAGGAATATTTTTATTAACAAAATTCAATAGTATTTTTGAAATGTGAAATATACAGTTGAATAAAAACTTTAAAAAATGTTTGTGACAATAGCAAATAATATACTCAAACGTTACGGTCTAACAGCGTAATAACATGGTTTCACTAGTTTCTTATACGTTTAACGGAATTCTATTATATTTTATGAAGCATTTATTGAGTAATATATCGGCTTTACAAAATTGTACCTACTTACCTATTTTTTAAATTTTGTTTCAGTAACTTTTGTATAGTTTTGTCTGTTGTTATTACTTTTTCCACTAAAATGAGTGCTCCTTAAAGTTTCATAAAGATCTACCTATATGGCTATATAATATATTGGAAATATTATCTAGTTTTATTGAATTTTGTTTGTAGTTGATACTTCAAAATATGTAGAGAGGTTACTATATTTTTCTCAATAGTTTTCTGAAATACAATAAAAAATAACCAACAACTTTCACGTTAATAGAATTCGTTTATAATGTATATTTAGATGTTTCATTAAATCATTGTTTTTACTATCTTGGAGAGACTTGACATTTTATCCGATTTTTTCTTAAAAATTAGTACTAGTCGTCAATTAATTCGTTTCAATACAATTTTGATCACCATACTGTACTTTTTTATAGGTATATAAATATTTGTAAGCAAAACTGTGTGTTTATTTTTATCAAATTTGAAACGGTTGTATGGCTCGTCTTATATTATTACAATTAATAGAAACTATTATATTTATTGAAAATTGTATTTGTTATGGATGGTAGTAATTTGTATATTTTGAAAGGTAACTAGTATATATATATACATATGGTCTGAACAATATACGTGTGAACGGCGACTTTAGTCACATTAATTACTATAATTAGTATCTTGTGGTGCACATAGTGCATACCTATATGTATTATTAATAGGTAAGTGTGCCTATTAAGTTACGAATAGACGATATGGATATTGATTATTCCAATAAAGTACATTCTTATCGTCTATGTACACCAGGTTGAATATATAACAGTACATTATAATAAACACATTACATATGGACGGTGATGGAAAAAAAGGTTACAAGGACTTAATGAAATAAATTTCCTAAAAACTTAAACAAATAATAGCTCTAAAAAATGTCAATGTTTAAAATGATTTTATGGCATGTAATATTGGAACGATTCATTATTATTTATGAATTAGATTCTAAATAGGTATATTAATGAATTTAACAGTTTTATATTTTTCGACAGATATCTTAAGATATCCAATACAAATTAAAAAGTTAGATATTTGATTTTTTAATTTCTTGTCGTCATAGAATATTATTATTTTTGATTCTTTGATTACTATAAATTGTTATTAATTATAATATTAATGAACGGATAAATATTTAAGCATTTTTAGAAAAAACATGAATACAGGAAGGTAATAAAATCTTGCGAATTGGTTTGCTGCTTATTAAATGTAAACTGTAAGTTGTCCCTCCCCCTATATTTTATTTAAGAATGAGTAGGTAAATAATATTGTACGGAAAGCATATTGTGCCACAGCTAAAAATATATTTTTGAACGAGTAATGATGATATGAAGATGATTAATTGCAGAGAACATGATATTATAAAAGAAAGTACGGGGAAAAAATCAGATGAAAATTACTCCGATGACATTTTTTTAAAGTGTTTTTATTACCATGTATGCTTTAAATTAACTTACAGACTTACACACAATGTTTTTATCTCAGATTATCATAGGGTATTATAATTTACTACAAATATTATAAGATCAGTCATTTTTGAGGTAAGTTTGACGAACTAGTTTTTCACCATTACACAACATTTATGAAAGTAAAAACTATTTGAAAACCGTTGTTTTAGGAAATGATAATTAATTACTAGAACACTTTAAATTGTTATTACCTACAAGAATGGAAGAAAAGGTTGGTCCGGGAAAACGCATAAAACTACATACTTCAAATTAAAGTGTTGTATCACTTGTATATACCAGAGGTATGGAATGTGAACGAAAGGACACTAAACGGGGAACATCGGAAAAAAATACTATCGACAGTTGGAATTGCAAATTTATAATTTATGTGGTGATGACTGATGAACTGTAATCCTACGATATGGAAGTTGATACATAAAATGCAATAATAATTATTAATAAGTGTTTATATAAAAAAATAATTTGGGAAAAATCAAAATCAAAGGCAAAACAAAAATGTTTGGAAGATGAACATCCTATTTTACGATATAATATTATCTGACATTGTATGACAAAATGGAGTGGTAATAATTGTATAATAATACAATGTAGTATTAAATTACTATAATAGATAGTAATGGACACTAATGGTTTATAATATGTAATAATAATAATAATAATAATGGGTAAGTGTGTTTAATGGTATTAAAAAGGGAATAAAATATTTTTATTAGCTAACTTTTTTCTAACCGTTAGCAAAAGTACACCAAACCATTAAAACCCAAAATATGCAATCGTTTTATGCATCTTAAAACCCTGAACTATTCTACATGAAACATTTTTTTCTAGTGGCTCAAATAATAAGTATTATGAATAAATTAAATAAATTGCATATAAAATAAAAACGACGTCAAATATGACACGGGAAATACCTATGTCAGCACGAGTGTTCACTCAAATACTTAATCAACCAGGAGGCACTGCGTCAGTACATCGATAGGCTTTTAAATAATCAAATGGTATAAAAGCTGCTGGTCGTTTTGATAAACTTTATTTTTATTTATTTGCTTATCCCTCAGGCCTCAACATGCAAAAAATACCCGAATATGTAAAAATATTACAAATTATTTTTATTTTTCGTAACACGAAACAAATTTAATTCTAGCTGATTTATTTTAAAGTCGTGCAAAATAAATATGCAAATTACAGAAAACCTCTGCTCGAAAGATGATTACCTACTAGGTAGTGCTTACTAGCTATGTAGTCAATATTTGCTACTATAAGTTATATATTATAATATTATATTTTTCATAAGTTTACCGTTCATTAGTAATTTATACTACTATATTACTGGCCATTATATGACATACCAGTATATTTGCACTATCTTAATTAAAATTGCTTGCCCATTGTGTGTGTATTATAATATATATCATGATGATTTAAATATATTTCAGAAGTTTATTTTTAAATTCTTGAGATTTTTGTTCTACTTAAGGAGTGTCTAGTAGAGATACAAATTTCCGTTTTTCAATAATTGAGAACCATTACACACCGGTACATAAACATTTTCAAAAAAATATATATATCTACTTAGTAATTTTCAATAAATATTCAAGGTTATCATTTGAAAAATAAAAAAGTTTGTAAACTTAAACCCTTTTAGTAATACAAACAATTTCAAGACTGAAAATATAGTCTCTAAGTACTTTTAATGTTTAAAAATTACAAAAAATTGTATTTGAATAAATTCATTAAAATGATAACATGGGTTAACATGCTGAGTGAATCACACTGTGTAAGACAATATATTTCTACAATGTAGAAAATATAAAATAGTTTATAATTGTAGTCTTGGAAAAAATGATAAATTTAGTAGCTACAGTTGGTAGATATCGATGAAAAATTAAGTCGACGGTCTTGTTAAGAACTGAAGTTTAATTGTGTGAATAACGTTTTTAATTTGAAATCTATGCTTAACCGATTAGTAAGTATGATGATTTCAATTGGTATCAAAAAATATTTTTAAAAACTTATTATTTTAAGGTATGCATAAAAAATATACACGTTGACTTACCGATTTTATGCATTGGACTAAACCTTGCCAGAGATATCACTCCTTGGTCACTAGTGCAGGCTCGGGCAAATCTGAAATGCAAACGATGGTTTGATTAATATAAAATAGAATATCAGTAGAATGAATAAACTGAATGAATAATATATAAGAAATATAATATGTATATTTATATCCATAAACCAAACATAATGTTGAAACAATTTTTAAACCATATTATTACCTTTAGGTACAATGTAGGTACCTAGAACAATTTTTAAAAATTGAACACATAGGAGAAATATATACAGTATAAAATACCATTACACATATCTTAAGTTCTAACTATAATATTACAAGAGCAATAATATTATAAAAAATGTTCAAAGAAAATAAATTTAAATAGTTAAGCTACATTCGCTTCCATAGGTCGATATGGTAAAAAAAAATAATGAATATAATATGTACTAAACATTTTTACAAAAGTAAATTAATACAATGCACTCCTTTACATGTACTCCCTTAATGCAAATCAGTTTTTCATATACACTGCAGTTAAAAACATTAAAGAAATGGTCATAATAATTGTTTGAAATTCATGTTTTGACAAAATTGGATATACAAACAAAAATAACAACCATACCTCAAACTGTTATTTTGTTTTTAGTTGTGTTTCAAATTTCATTATATATTATTTGTATAGAGATTTCACATGTTAGTCTTAACGTATGTTCTAGCTGCATACACACACAAGGAGATTTCGCATTATGAAAAAAAAGATCTGATCTTCAACTTCGATGGAGATTTCTAGTAACAAATTGGATCTAGTTGATACTTTTGGTGGGTTAAAAACAATTATGAACATTTTAATATTATTATTATTAAAATAACAACTGCTTGGTAGCCTTGATTAAAATTAAATTCCAGTATTTGACCAACCATCAACGATGTGTTATTACACACAATAACAATTTGTACGGATTTCAAGATTTTTCGTAACTTAAATTTTAGGCAGGTACGTTATTTTTATTAATTAACAATGTTACACAAGTCTAAAATATACCAAATGTTGAAATAAACAGTTATTTTATGAAATAAAAGTTTTTAAGAATATTTTCAAATTTGATTTCACTTTATTTTTTTATCAAACTGAAATAAAAACTACAATTGAATAGACAATCAAACATAAAAAACTGCAATGATAAAAAAAATGTATAAAGGAAAATTTCCGATCTGCGCAGTATTCTATAGATCACTACCTCGTTGTTGAGTTGGTCACTACAAAGGATTTATTAAATTTGAACTCCATAATGGATCATTGTATACGATGAAAACGATACTGAGCGGGGACGGTCTAACTTTTTGGTTGGTAACCAAAGTTTAAAAATAATTTTAATAATGTTATAATTATAACAAACGTTACATTTATTTTGAAAGTACTAACTTGATCCTATTTGCAACCAAAAACTTTCTACAAAGTTAATGATTGAAGTATTTGTCTTTTCAAAAAAGTATCTTTAGACGTACAGACACCAACACAAATAAAAAAAATAAAACACATAATTGTAAAATCAATATGTTCATCGCTCCTCACGGGATCTAAAAAGTAATCAAAATATTTTCGTATGTCAATTTAACAATATCGAGTTTAATTTGTACAGAAAAACATACATAAAAGATAAAAGTATAAAAGATCATTAAGAATACCTATTTTATCGACGTACATTCATTTCGTAAATTATGGTGGTTCAGACAGTACACAGTTCAACAGTTGACCTTTGACAATCAAGTGTGAGCATTTAAATGCTAAATGATATGAGTGAGTCTGTTAACATTTGATGTTATTACAAATCGACTGCGCGGTCACATAGTATATAATATGACATTATATATATATGTATATACAATTTACAGGCTGTATCTGGAGGATTTGACTGTTAAAATACGGAATAAACAAGTGATTGGCAAATCGTCTAGAAACACCTCCTTAAATAACATACAAATATCATAAAAATTCATAACTGCGATTGAAATCATGAACACACTTTATCATTACCAATATAGAGTATCCATTTGGTAGAATATCTAACTGTAGTTTGTAGAATCATAAGCACTTGATATCAACTGCAGGTTTACTTCCTGTAGTCGGCTATTATTGTCAGAGAATATTGACAGACACGGATATGCGGCCGATAAACTATAATGTATGTATTATTCTGTCCACTATTATTATATTAGTATAAATGTTGGCAAAGGGGTGGAATCAGGACTCCAGATTTAATGATTTAATGCACGACAAAACTTTAAATAAAAAAAACGATAAATGTGTATTTAAATATAGTGCACCTAAAAAAATTGAAATATGCAAGTAAAAAATGTGGAAAAAAAATTTGGCAATTACTTTGTAGTTCAATATTTATAAAACTGTTAACTTTTGTAGCTATATTGAGGCTTGAAAATTGTATACAAGCTTTATCATATTTTTTTATTGATGCAACATAAATATTCCAGGAATAAATTTGCACTATTTTTTTTATAGATGTTTATTTTTAATTATTCAATAAAAAAATTTGACAAAATTGGATATTAAAACAAAAAATAACAATGTTGATAATTATGTTTTAATTCAAAAAATACTATTTACAGGTACTTGAAATTTTTTGAAACTTCATGTGTTATTATTTAGTATTTACTATACAAACAGTAAAAACATATTTAGATTAATTTTAAGTTTATTACCCTACGGTTCTATTAACACCGTTTCACGGTACTTAGGTATATTGACATTTGACGTAACTAGTAATATCATATTACATATATACTTATCTAAATATTACTATTATTTTTTAATATATTATTATGTGGTTTGTTTTTTTCAAAAATTACTTTAACTTATATTATTATTTATAGAAAAACAAATTACTTAAAGCAATATAAATATATAATACAATTTCTTTAGAAATATAGAATGACTGAACGTCTCAGCTCAGAACCATTTTTGAATGCAAAGGCACAATGATTTATCATTGAATTCAAATTTAACATGTCATCTTATACAGTGTATACAGTGACCTATTCAATAACGAAGTACACTTGACACGTACTGACAATCAAACTTCTGAGTGACTTTCCCCGCTATCACAATATACATTTATAGAAAAAAAAATTTAATTCAAAAATGAATGTTTAACATTTTTAAATTTGATAGCCAGACGACAATATACGAATTATATTATTTGCATCGAATCAGATTTCTACTTTTTACACTCTGAATAAAAAATTTACAAACGCAATATAAGTCTCCTATTCCTAAATGTGATCGAAAAATCGTCATTAAAAATCATAAAAGTTTATCATAAATTATAATCCGCGAATTTACCTTAACCATCCAAATTTAAGCTCTCACCCTTAAAAAAAAAAACAATTTTACTGGTAATCAAAAATATTGCAGTAAAATCATATTTTACTCAACAAGTGACAACATATGCTCAGAGACTTCCATTAAAATCATAAATACACAAAATAAAACACATTATTATAGCTGTTTTTAAAATATTCCAGAACTAACCCAACAGCCCTATCGTAATGAAAAACTCATTGCTATTAAAATATCAGTGCTTGGATAATAAGCAATCGCGGATCTGCCTATATTAATTCCTTTCTTCAGTAAATGTAAAATGTGTATAATATATTATATGCAGTATTATATGGTAAATTAATCTTCACTGGCAATACATATATTATACTACATCACCCTAGATATAGCGTGATTTATACATTTTCATAACACGTACAATGTGTATCTATTGTCTAAATATACTTATTTTGAACATCCATTGGGTTATAGCAGTATTTTTATTGGGTTAATCAATGAAAACTACAAAATATAAGATAAATAAGAAAAAAGACGGACAGAATATAAAGACCACTTGTTGCAGGGCACTTGCCTCACTTCATTCATTGTAACACCAGACATCGGATCTCTGTTATTATTGTAAACAACTATAATATATTTGAATGCATGTACTTTAATCACCACGCATCAATTGGCAAACAATTTCGAGCGAAGCGACTTGCAACATTTATGTGATTTTTAAATGCTGTAAACGTTTCATTATAATTAATGGATTACGAAAACTACTGAAAAAAACCAGGAGTTTATTGTTTGAAGATATTCAAAGTTGCATCCAGATAAAATCATAAAGAATAGTAATCTGGAACGTGTTTTTTTATTCAACGACAAAAGTAATAAATAACAAATATTACCTATTTAAAGTCGTACACCGTTTATATAATACTATTTATGTTATACTTATGATAACGATATGTCTTTAAAAATATACTTTTCCGAACAAAAATATATTATTCTTAGTTTTATGCGATGTCTTATACCATCTTATACATTGTTGTTAATATTTAAAATCCTCAAATAGTGTTATAAGCAACAACAAGCAATTTATATTTATATTAAACTCGTAACAGATATAAAGTCACAGGTTTAATCACATTATTATGGTTATTGGATTTTACGTAATATTGGTTGTTACCTATATATATTATTATAATATTCTAATATCTCCTGATTAACTTGATCAGCATAGTTTCTTTGAAAATTTATTTTTACCATTTTCGAAAAATAAATCATAGTAAGCTTATTTATGATTGAATATTCAAAATCAATTATTATTCTAATGATATGAAGGTACACCTCATGTTAAGGTTTATACAAAAAAATGCATGAGATATATTTTGTATTTTATAGCTTCGTAGTTGTTTCATGAAATCGTAATTTTATTTTCATTAAAACCACAATATTTATAAGTTCTGTGAGCACTATTGATCTAACTTACGTTAAATTTAGAAGTTTTAGATATAGTCTTTCTGTTTATATGATTATATTGTATGCCAACGTCGCATAGTAACATTTCATTTATTGCAGTATCGCACACCAACAGATCTCTTCTCACAATGTTTGATATACCCATGTTAGCTGGGTTTGGTTAAAATAAACTATATAATTTCTACTGAATAAACCATTTATTTCTATTATAATGGTATTTTTGATTTTTGGCGTATCATCTTACACATCAACTAT